CCCAAGTGGAAGCTATCATTTTTTTGACCTAGCCTTGGAAGTCACACAGCATCTAGTTTTGCCATGTTCTGTTTGTTAGAAGAGAGGCACATTGTGGACTTTTTAAAAAGTGACAGGGTCTCACGCTATCACCCAGGCTGGAGTGCAATGGTGCAATCACAGCTCACTGCAGCCTTGACTTTCCCGGCTCAAGGGATCCTCCCACCTCAGCCTCCTGAGTAGCTGGGCCCACAGGCGCACACCACCACACCTGGCTAAGTTTTGTGTTTTTTGTAGTTGGGGTTTTGCCATGTTTCCCAGGCCGGTCTCAAGCTCTTGGGTTCGAGCATGCCTCCCATCTTGGCTTCCCAAAGTGCTGGGGATTATAGGCATGAGCCACTGTGCCCAGCCAAGATTTATTTTAAAACAACACTTGGTAGGATTTTTTTTATGTTGGATAGACACCTCTTGTCAGATGTATATATCTTCACCTATTCCGTGGGTCATCATCGTGTCTTTTGAGGTAAAGAAGTTCTATTAATTTTTCCTTGAATAGTCAGTTCTGTCTTGAAGATATTCAAATAATTATTGTATCTTCCATAAATATGTCAGTATATGTCCTCAGAGAATAAGGACTCTTGTTTTAACTATAGGAACCACAAAGCCTCACTTTTTTTTTTTTTTTTTTTGAGACAGAGTTTCGCTCTTGTTACCCAGGCTGGAGTGCAATGGCGTGATCTCGGCTCACCGCAACCTCCACCTCCCGGGTTCAGGCAATTCTCCTGCCTCAGCCTCCCGAGTAGCTGGGACTACAGGCACGCGCCACCACGCCCAGCTAATTTTTGTATTTTTAGTAGAGACGGGGTTTCACCATGTTGACCAGGGTGGTCTCGATCTCTTGACCTCGTGATCCACCCGCCTCGGCCTCCCAACGTGCTGGGATTACAGGCTTGAGCCACCGCGCCCGGCCCAGCCTCACATCTTAAAAATAAAATGAACACAACAGTTGCTTGATGTTATCTAATACTTGAAATCTCTAGTTATTTTATGTAATAATTTTTCTAATTTTGGCAGTGGCAAATCAGGATCCAAATTAGAGCTACCCTTTTTTTTTTGTTTTTTAATCTGTGGATTCCTCATTTTTTGCTCTTCTCTCACCATGCCTTCCATTTGTGGGAGAACTGGGCTGTTTGTTTTGTCGTATTCCCCACAGTGTTGTGTAGCCTCTGTTTCCTGTGCACTGGTAGTTGGATCTTGAGGAAGTTTCTCTTGGGGAATAAATTTGGGGGACTCTCACTTTAAAACTTTATTTTTATTTTTGAGACGAAGTCTCACTCTTGTGGAAGCTGGAGTGCAGTCGCATGATCTCGGCTTACTGCAACCTCCACCTCCTGGGTTCAAGCAATTCTCTTGCCTTAGCCTCCCTAGTAGCTGGGATGACAGGCACGTGCCACCATGCCCAGCTAATTTTTTGTACTTCTAGTAATGACAGGGTTTCATCATGTTGGCCAGACTAGTCTTGAACTCCAGACCTGGTAATCCGCCCACCTCAGCCTCCCAAAGTGCTGGCATTATAGGTGTGTGCCACTATGCCTGGCCTAAAACTTTTGTCTGAAAACGGTGTTGCTTCTTTGGTTGTGATCTGTCTCTGGAGGTTGAATGTGGAGCTAAGCTGAAATTTTTAAGGACTTCCAACCTAAATCACATTGAAATTCATTCAGACTAGAGCTATTCTATACTTAAAGGATAATAATGTTCATTTGGTAGGCACTTCCACCCTCTCCCTCTTCTGTGTGTATGGGAGGCCAGTGGCAGTCTGGTCATCTTGTGTGTATCGTGCCCTAGCTGGCAGTTCAGAATGTTGTGGGCATCGTCAGCATGGACTTTGCTGTTGTTAACTAGACTTTCCATATTTATTGTCTACTTGTTTTCTCCTTATGCTGTCTTCTGGCTTTTCTTCTTTCGTTGCCAGTTTTGGAGTTGTGATGAACAATATATTAAGGGTTGATGCCTCAAAATTCTTTTTAGGTAACATTGAATTTGTAGTGTGCGCCAGTCTTTTTCTTTTCTTTTTAATTTTTTTCTCTTTTTTGTTTTAATTTTTTTTCTTGTTGCTTGAAAAATGATCTTGTTGCATCTGTCTTTCTTCTCTAACAGAAATTTTTATGTTGAAAAATTAGTGAAATAAACTACAATGTGATTAACCCTGCACATTGAAGAAGTAGACAGATTATTATTACTCTGTCATCCAGGCCAGATTGCAGTGGCACGATCTCGGCCAGTGCAACCTCTGCCTTCCAGGTTCAAACAATTCTCGAGCCTCACACTCCCCCCGCAGCTCCCCCCCCCCCCCCCCCCCCCCCCCCCCCCCGCCCCCCCCCCCCCCCCCCGCAGTAGCTGGGATTACAGGTGTGTATCACCACACCTGGCTGATTTTTGAAATTTTAGTAAAGATGGGGTTTCATCATGTTGGCCAGGCTGGTCTCGAGCTCCTGGTCTCCGGTGACCTGCCTCCCAAAGTGCTGGGATATTTTATACTCTTAGTACCTTTTAGATGAAACTTGTCACATTTCTAGTGCTCAAAAGCCTTACGTGGCTACCATAGTAAAGAGCATATATCAGAATTATTATCATTATTGTTCATGCTCACATGGGAGTTTCAGGGGCAGTGACCAAGAACCCAAGTAAACAATGGCTTGAAGGGGCCAGAGGAGCCTAGGGAGATGAATTAGGAAACTGTGTCCAAAGGGTATCTTACAAGATCTTTATTGATGAACGCACACTCCAGTTTACCTTATTCCAGGCAGTGGCAAAAGATGCAGAGAAGGGAAAGTACAAGGTAGAACCGACAATGTTTCAGTGAATTGGATTGGAAGGGAAACGAGGAGCCAGGGCTATTTTCCAGGCTGCCTTTCACAACTGGGGTGTGCCTTTTGCTGAGATGGGAAGGGCATGGTGAAGAAGAGGCTTGGTTGGTTGGGCAGCGTGTGATGGAGATCAGCAGCTCCATTTTGGAGATTAAATATGATGTGCTTGTGAGATATCCGAAGGGAAAATGTCTGTTAGTCATTGGGTTACCTGTGTTTGAAATGACTTGATGGTTGTTTTGGTTTTATAAATTTGCACCTTAGTTATGTTTATGGAGAGGAATATTTTAAACACCCATGGAAATGGCTTCGTTCATTTAACAAAACTTGACTCTTCCAGGGCTTTGTTTTAGTTGCTGGGGAAACAGTACAAATAAAACAAATGTGAATTTGCTTCAGACAAATGTGGTGCCCTCAGGAGAGTGTGCTAGGTCCACAACCTGACCTCTGCAGGAGCCTCTGCATTATCAGTGGGACAAAAGGAAGGAAGAAAGGAGAAGAGGAGCAGCCTTCCAACTAGGGAGACTCGAAAGTGGCCAGTGAGAAAACAAGGAACATGTGACGTCAGAGAAGCCAGGCCAGGAGAGTGTTCTAATGAGGAGGGTCTTCCTGGGGACTGCCTTGCCTGCTGCTGAGAGTGAGGTGAAAGTGAGGACAGAAGAGTTTCACTTAGATTTAGCCTGATCTGGAGGTCGTCAGTGACTTGTGGATGACTTGAAAGAGCAGTTTGAGCTGAGTGGTAGAGAAATCGAAGATTGGAATGAGGTAAAGAGGGAATGCTGACAGAGAAAGGACTCTTTCTTATTTTTAAATAACCCCTACAAATCATTGAGAACACAAGCCCAGTAGAAAACTGGACAAAGGATATAAACAGACAGTTGGGAGAAAAGTGAAGTATAAATGGCTCCTGAATATATGAACAGTGCCCAATCTCACTCATAAGAGAAAAGCAAATGCATTGTTAACCAGGTGTGTGGAAACAGGCCTTCACACATCACTGGGGGAATATAGGTAGGGCTGACCTCCAAGGAGAGCCATTTGGCCATGCACCTAATTAGAGGCACACATTCTTTGATCCAGCAGATCCACTTCTAGAAATGCTGGCATGCTTTTGTAATAGCAAAAATTGAAAACTAAGTGGTCATCAGTGGTGGCCTGGTTAAATCAGCAGTAAAACAAAAGAACCTCTATACCAGGTAAAGCATATTTCTGAAGAAAGTAGAAATTGTTTTTTTCTTATTATGCTATAAGTCAGGTTCTTTGAGACTTAGTTTTTTTCCACTAAAATTTTTAAAGATGAGAAACATGCAGGTGGGTCTGGTATAGGCCACACAACGTATATAGAAAGCTGCCTTTGAAAAGAGCTATGTAGACTAGAGCTTGTCCTGCCCTGACCCTCTACTTTTTTACACGTTTCACTCAAGTCAGTAGGCTAAATTCTGTTCTCCAAATACCTGCTAGGAGTCTTTTGAATGGACTCTTTCCTATTTCATGTATATACTGAGTTTTACACCACAGGAAAGGGTATCTTACAAGATCTTTGTGGATGAATGCATACTCCAGTTTACCTTATTGCAGCTAAAAGTAACTGCATCTCCTATCGAGAGAGCATCACATTTTACTTGGTTTGGCTCATCGACAAAGTAAGCAAGCTCTTGATGCAATTCGAGAGCCCAAAAGCGGCAGTGGGGATTCTACTATAACGTCTAGTGTAGGAAGATTTTCATGGTCAAGTTTTTGTTGGGGGAAAGGAACAGTCCAGATCTTTGTGAGCTCTGTGTTCTCATCCAGCTACATGCACCTGGCTGTACAGACCTTTTTGCAGCTTGGCTTTCTTTGGAGATAACAGCATGTTTTTACATGTAGGCTAAAGCAAAAATGAAAAACTAGGCACATGCCAGTAGACAAATCAGCCTCCTAACAGAGCACATGGACATTGTACAACTTTACATTCTCTGTCATTGGGGTCTTGTTTAAATTTAGTTGATTTCTTAAGATTTTGTTTAAACTGGTATTTATAATTTTTTTCTTTATTTGAGTATCTTGGTTTCACTTATTTGTTCTTTTCTATTTCTTCTTAGATCTATAGGAATGAAGAATTTTAGGATTTGATGTGTCTTCAGTAATCATTTAGTCTAAATCTCTCATTTACAGATAAGAAAACAAGCTCAGAGAGATGTGGTGACTTGCTCAAAGAGTGACAGAACTTCCTCGGCCATCTGGAGGGGTCATATGAAACCTTTATATCATCAGCTTGAGGTACCTCCCATAATTTTAAGGGGTATGTGGCTTTAATTACTACTGCATGAATGAAGAATATTATGTGCTGCACTATTTCATTTAGAATCATGGACACAATCGAGTTGAACTCTTACATTTTTTGGTTGAGAAAGTTGAGACCTGGATAATGGAAATTTATTCATCCAAGATTACAGGCCATAAACATTTATTCTGTGCTTAGATTTAAAAAAATTGAATTATTATTTTACTTATTTAGAGAGATAGGGTCTAGCTATGTGTGTGCTTAGTTTTAATGTGAGTCAGAGCAGTGCTGTTAGTAGAACTTTGTATGAGGTTGATACAAAAGTAATTGTGGCTTTTGCTATTAAAAATAATGACAAAGACCGTGATTAATTTTGCACCAACCTAATGTAAATAGTTAAAATTAATTTAAAATTCAGTTGCCAGAGGAGTGGGGTGGAACAACAAAAAAAAACTAGGTCTCTTGCCTTAATAGCCACGCTTCAGGTGCTCAGTAACTATGTGTGGCTAGAGAATCGGACAGCTCAGGTGTAGAGTGTTTACCTTTCTTGTTAATCTTTTTTTAGAATTGTTAGTGGTGGAGACCAAGGCACATGAGTATGACTAGAATTGTGAAGTACGCATTTGAAGGTTTAGATTGAAAACTGGGAGTAAAAAGACATAACACTTGGAGCTTGAGACAGAGCTGCAGCTGGTTCTGGCCTGAGCCTTTTCTTTATGTTTTATCCTTTTTTTTTTTTTTTTGGTTGGTGGGGGGACACTGATAAGAACCTGTACGAGATTGTTTCTTTCCCCTCCCTGCCATGATGTAGGTACCTTGTTTTGTCATTTTATTAGGTTGGTGCAAAAGTAATTGTGGTTTTTGCCATTACTTGTAATTGTAAAACCCACAATTACTTTTGCACCAACTTAATAAAAATCCCAACCTTTAGCTTGAGTTCTCCCAGGCTCAAGCAATTTTCTTACCTGAGTCTCCTGAATAGCTGGGACTGTAGGTGTGCCGCACCATGCCTGACTGATTATATTTTTAGTAGAGATGGGGTCTTGCTCTTTTGCACAGGCTGTTCCCTAACTCCTGGCTTCAAGTGATCCTCCTGCTTCAGCCTCCCAAGGTGTTGGGGATTATGGGCATGAACTACTGCACCCAGCCCTTTATACTTAAAACAAAGTTTTTTTTGTTTTTTTTGTTTTTTTTGTTTTTGAGGCACAGTCTTGCTCTGTTGCCCAGGCTAGAGTGCAGTGGCACGATCTGGGCTCACCACAGTAGACACCTCCTGGGTTCAAGTGATTCTCCTGCCTTAGCCACCTGAGTAGCTGGGATTATAGGCACATGCCACCATGCTAAGCTAATTTTTGTGTTTTTAGCAGAGACAGGATTTCATCATGTTGGCCAGGCTGGTCTTGAACTACTGACCTGGTGATCCGCCAGCCTCAGCCTCCCAAAGTACTGGGGTTACAGGCGTGAGCTGTCGTGTCTGGCCAAAAACTTTTTCCCTTTCTAACTGTAGATTGATAAATCATAGCTGTTAACATATTTATAGGGTACTAGGTGATGTTATGATTCAGGTATACTATATAGAATAATTAAATCAAGTTCATTAACATTCGTCACCACAAATACTTTTTTGTGGGGGGGAAGTTTGAGATTCTCTTTTTATTTATTCATTTATTTATTTTACTTTTTTGAAGCACTGTGGTTTGTAAAATTTGAAATTCTCTTTGTCACTTTGAAATGCACAGTGGCATGAGTATTTACTACGTTCAGCATGCTGTGCACAGTATCTCAGAAACCCCTTTTTTCTCTGAATTGAGGCTTTGTCTCCCCTGACCAGCATTCCTCTCACCTCCCAGCAATCTTACACTTACCTCAGATAGTACCCACTTGATTGCCAAGATTCCATATAAGAGGTTTTGGTCTTTTTTACCTTTGTACTATAGATTATGGAAGTTTCAGCTTTTACATCAAATTAAGCTTGATTGTGTACCTTGGCCGAGCCCACTAAATATAGCTCGGTGACTGGGATCATGTAGCCATTTGTACCTTTGCTCTGTGTCCTTGCCCACTGTTGTTATAACAGGCAGAGGTAGTTTTTTGGGCTTTACTGTAAATGTAGATGTACTCATCTATGACTTGCCTCTATTGTAAAAACAGATTGTGTTGGCTTCATGTGTACCTGCAGTGATTTGAGTGTCCATTAGGGTGCATAGCCAGACAATGATGTAATCTAATCAGGTGCCAAAGTCTTTACTTATAGTACTTTAAATACGGGATTGTGCTTTTAGAAGGTGATAGTATGGATTTACTGGGTGTTTTGTACTTTACCCAGTAGTCTTTTTGCATTTTTTCAGTGTGGGGATTTTTTTATTGGCTTAGAAACCTTGATACCCCTAGCTTGATCTGTATTAAATTGATTGGTGTTTCTGAAATTGGCTGGTCAGGTTGCCTGTATATAGGTATTCTGTTGGAAGATGCCTCTGAAGACATGGGAATTAGGTTATTTATCAAGTCATGGAAGTTGGTTGTTTCCTAATTATGGGCATTTGTGCAGTTATTTTTGATGATTTTTGTATTCAAAATTTTGTGGATAATTTTTTACTTTACAGTGTGCTAGGCATTGAAGGTAAAAATGGTGAACAAGTCCTCATAGAGATGAATTATCTTCCCATCTCATTACCTTCCATCTCTTCAAACCTGGGTGTTTTAGAAAACATGTGAGGGTGCTTGGAACAACGGGATTGTTGAGATCTACATTAGGAGGGCACAATGAGGTGGCCAGTCCTGGGACTTCCTGATACCAGTTAAAAAGTAGAATTCCTTGCCTTTATGTGTCCAAGCTTTGTGATACCACCTGTCTGTCTAATGGAGAGTGCATCTTTAGTTGTGTCTGATACGTGATGTAAGGAGAAAATGCTTTCTTGACTGTTATATAATAGCTATGGTTTCCTCTTATGAGTCTCCATCAGCAGGAATTTCGTGGTATTTGTATTAGAAATTTATATGGGGCTGGGTGAGGTGGCTCACGCCTGTAATCCTAGCATTTTGGGAGGCTCACTTGAGCCGAAGAGTTTGAGACCAGCCTGGGCAACATATCAAGACCCCAGGTCTAAGAAAAATCATAATGAGAGGCTAGGGAGCAGATTACTGCTGCTTTTTTTCTCCCCTCTGAAGTGAGTTTTTTGGCTTTTTATTTTTTAAATAAATTGAATGTTCATATAAGAGTGATTTGGGGTAAATCCTTTATTTTCCTCAACTGTAAAACAGATAGTAATAGGATAGCAAAGTACTTGTACAGTGCCAACACAAAAGGTTTGTAAGGGTAGATTTTCATTCCTGCTATTCTCAAATTTTGTGATTAAGCAAGTTCATTTAGATGCTGTTTAGTTGAGAATTTGTGGTTTTGCTGTTTTAGTCCAAAGCAGTCATCGTTCTTAAATGATATTTTTATCATTATGTTGCACTTGCATTCTCTTCACTGGCCTTAATCAGAGCCAGCAGTACTGAAAAGAGAAATCTTGCTATCCAAATGTCACATTGTGCTATACATATTAAAAAAAAAAAAAAAAAAAAAAAAACCAGAAATCTGTGACAGGGTTAGGTTATATGACTGTTGATAAAAATTCAGTCCATGGAAGGAAGGATTGGTTAAACATGAAACTACACTATTTCTTTTCCAGTCTTGATTTCTTTTTTGGAGAGGGGGCTTTGGATTCATTTCCTCCAAGAGAGTAGTCTAGTACTATCAACTGCTGAGCTACATCTGATACTACTGATGATTAAAACCAGTTTTCCTCCTCTGCCTTCCATGATGCTGTGCAGTTGGACCCAGTGTTTCAGAAGAGTCTTACTCTAACCATGCCCCTTTCTCACTCTGTCCTTTAATTATGATGTAAATAGAAATTAAATACTTGGGGACAATACCCCCTTTTCAGCTTTAGTGTTCTTTGGGGAGAACTTTTCATCATCCTCATGGATTCCACCCTCATCTGTTTAACTTTCAAAGCATCTCTTTCTGTCTTAGCTTTTTTAGTAGTCTTGTGCCACAGTATGTCTGGATACTGTCAGTTAAATTCTTTCCTTGTGAGAATAGGAAACCTTGGATCTTGATTTCTTCAACCATGCTTGTCAGTAACTTCTCTTTCACCATCAGTACCTTCTCAGTCCCTTTGGACTTAAAGCAGATTTTATTTTTTTATTTCACTTTTATTTTTTTTATTTTTTTATTTTTTTACCAAGTTCTGCTTAATTTTTTCTATAGCCACTGTTACCATGTTTAAAGCTTTGATTATTTGCATATTAGATTCATAAATTGTTAAAGCAAGAAGAAAATTGAGAGTTAATTTACTCCAACTTTCTTATTTTTATTTTTAAGACAGTACTTCACTCTCACTGTCCAGGATGGAGTGCTATGGCGCAGTCTTGGCTCATTGAAACCTCTGCCCCCTGAATAGCTGTGACTAGAGACACGGACCACTGCATCTGGCCATTTTTTTTTTTTTGGGTTGGAGTTTTGCTCTTATTGCCTAGGCTGCAGTGCAATGGTGCAATCTTGGCTCACTGAAACCTCTGCCTCCCAGGTTCAAGCCCTTCTCCTGCCTCTGCCTCCTGAGTAGCTTGAATTACAGGCA